ATGGATGAGCGAGCCCTGGAAGAGCACAGCGCGTCGAACGGGAGGCGAAGAAGAGGGGGAAAAGAAAAGAGGGGAGAGGGAAAGAGATAAATTGATGATCTAATCTGTCACCCGAGTCTCCCCGATTCTCAAGTGTTTTTTTATTCACTGACGATTTTTAGTGTTTGTTTGTTATTTTCTTTATTTTGGAACAAGGCAGGAGATGCATGTTGAATTGAATGGTATCTATTTTGTTAGTTTTTATCATATTTCTGTTTCTTTGAAGGTGCAATATCATACCACATGTAATCAAAAATGTATTTTTTTTCTCTTTATATATATATCGCTATCATTCACATATAATCATTATACCATATAAAAAAGTGCAATGGTTTGATAATCCCGTGCCTGACCAGGTAGTGGGTGCTATGACCTTTGACCTCGCTCGGGCAGGTACGTGAAAATCCTCATAATCGGGTCGGGATCTTACCTGAGGTGTGAAGACCTACGCGTGATCTTCCCTTCTACCTGTAAGATTCTTCATTCTTGTCATGGGGTGAGAAAGGGTTGAGGGTGGGGGGGTTATGTCCTCCTCCTACTCCACGACCTTACTCCTCTAACCGTTCTCACCCTCGAATTCCTTTTCGTATCTCCCTTTCAGTTCTTCCTCGTCTCAGCCTCCAAATGCATCCTCATTTCCTCTCCTCCAGTCCTTCCTCACCTCGCCCCCAATACTGCCTTATCTCCCCCTTCCCCCCTCCCCCCATACTTCCTCACCCCCCCCCTCACACTTATCTTCCCCATGCGTCCTTCATAAATATCTATTTTCTGTCCTCTATTGTTTTTTTTTTTATTCCACTTATCCCTCTTTCCTCCTCCTCTTCCATTCGTTAAGGCCGCAGCGGTATTCTCCATTTGACAAGTATGCGAGAGGAATAGCATACTTCGATCAGATCTCGATAAGCCTTATCGCCGCAGTGGACAACCTTAATTTATCCGACCCTTAGGAACACTTACACGAACGTACATTCCTACACACACACACATACACACACACACACATACACACACACGTATGCTCACATACACCGACGTCTACATGTACACATACGCGAACACACAAATTCACGCATATGAAACATACCAAAACACAAAAATACGCACATAAACATACAATTATACAAAAATTCACACATAAACATATACTTATATAAAAATATGCACATAAACATACAATAATACAAAAATACGCAAATAAACATACGATTATACAAAATACATACATAAATATACAATTACACAAAAATACGCCCATAAACATACAATTACACACAAAAAATACGAACATAAACATACAAACCCACATCAAACAAACCAACACACACAAACACACATACACGACAGAACCTTATTGTGAACATACGGCATATACATCCACAAGCATCATTAATCATCCAACCATATTTACCGGTCATTTTCTCCTCCTCCATCTGGACCACCAAAGACCATAAACGTGTATCGGCCTAAGACCTTTTCAATTAAATCGAGCCCAAAACAAAAGCTTTAGTAGGGGGAGGAGGAGGAGGAGGGGGGGTAAGGGAGGGGACACCCAAGAGGCAGAAAGCATGTAAATGATTTTGGACGAATGGGCAATAAAATGGACAGCGGCTTGACCGGGGAAGGCTGGAGGGTAGTTGTAAAAATTAATTCCTTCCCAGTAGGCCTGGCCTTGTCTCCTTCTAAAGCCCGTAGTAGGTGTATAGCGGGCGTGGTGGACAGAGTGGCCGTGTCTGTAGTCCCTGAAGGATTTTGGGGGGATTTGAGTGTGATCGAAGGCGAGGAGCCCATCTGCTTTCAAACGGTCTCTGGCGGGTGGTGGTCCGGATTTTTTTTTTTTTTTTTTTTTGGTATTTCTTCTTTCCTCCTCTATCATTCCCCACGTCCTTCCTTCTCTTCCTCTCCCTTTCCCTCTTCCCTCCTTCCTTCCTCCTCTATCATTCCCCACGTCCTTCCTTCTCTTCCTCTCCCTTTCCCTCTTCCCTCCTTCCTTCCTCCTCTATCATTCCCCACGTCCTTCCTTCTCTTCCTCTCCCTTTCCCCCTTTCCCTCCTTCTTTCCTCCTCTATCATTCCCCACGTCCTTCCTTCTCTTCCTCTCCCTTTCCCTCTTCCCTCCTTCCTTCCTCCTCTATCATTCCCCACGTCCTTCCTTCTCTTCCTCTCCCTTTCCCTCTTCCCTCCTTCCTTCCTCCTCTATCATTCCCCACGTCCTTCCTTCTCTTCCTCTCCCTTTCCCCCTTTCCCTCCTTCTTTCCTCCTCTATCATTCCCCACGTCCTTCCTTCTCTTCCTCTCCCTTTCCCCCTTTCCCTCCTTCTTTCCTCCTCTATCATTCCCCACGTCCTTCCTTCTCTTCCTCTCCCTTTCCCCCTTTCCCTCCTTCTTTCCTCCTCTATCATTCCCCACGTCCTTCCTTCTCTTCCTCTCCCTTTCCCTCTTCCCTCCTTCCTTCCTCCTCTATCATTCCCCACGTCCTTCCTTCTCTTCCTCTCCCTTTCCCTCTTCCCTCCTTCCTTCCTCCTCTATCATTCCCCACGTCCTTCCTTCTCTTCCTCTCCCTTTCCCTCTTCCCTCCTTCCTTCCTCCTCTATCATTCCCCACGTCCTTCCTTCTCTTCCTCTCCCTTTCCCCCTTTCCCTCCTTCTTTCCTCCTCTATCATTCCCCACGTCCTTCCTTCTCTTCCTCTCCCTTTCCCCCTTTCCCTCCTTCTTTCCTCCTCTATCATTCCCCACGTCCTTCCTTCTCTTCCTCTCCCTTTCCCTCTTCCCTCCTTCCTTCCTCCTCTATCATTCCCCACGTCCTTCCTTCTCTTCCTCTCCCTTTCCCCCTTTCCCTCCTTCTTTCCTCCTCTATCATTCCCCACGTCCTTCCTTCTCTTCCTCTCCCTTTCCCCCTTTCCCTCCTTCTTTCCTCCTCTATCATTCCCCACGTCCTTCCTTCTCTTCCTCTCCCTTTCCCCCTTTCCCTCCTTCTTTCCTCCTCTATCATTCCCCACGTCCTTCCCTCTCTTCCTCTCCCTTTCCCCCTTTCCCTCCTTCTTTCCTCCTCTATCATTCCCCACGTCCTTCCTTCTCTTCCTCTCCCTTTCCCCCTTTCCCTCCTTCTTTCCTCCTCTATCATTCCCCACGTCCTTCCTTCTCTTCCTCTCCCTTTCCCTCTTCCCTCCTTCCTTCCTCCTCTATCATTCCCCACGTCCTTCCTTCTCTTCCTCTCCCTTTCCCTCTTCCCTCCTTCCTTCCTCCTCTATCATTCCCCACGTCCTTCCTTCTCTTCCTCTCCCTTTCCCTCTTCCCTCCTTCCTTCCTCCTCTATCATTCCCCACGTCCTTCCTTCTCTTCCTCTCCCTTTCCCCCTTTCCCTCCTTCTTTCCTCCTCTATCATTCCCCACGTCCTTCCTTCTCTTCCTCTCCCTTTCCCTCTTCCCTCCTTCCTTCCTCCTCTATCATTCCCCACGTCCTTCCTTCTCTTCCTCTCCCTTTCCCCCTTCCCCTTCTTCTTTCCTTCTCTGTCATTCCCCACGTCCTTCCCTCTCTTCCTCTCCCTTTCCCCCTTTCCCTCCTTCTTTCCTCCTCTATCATTCCCCACGTCCTTCCTTCTCTTCCTCTCCCTTTCCCTCTTCCCTCCTTCCTTCCTCCTCTATCATTCCCTACCTCCTTCCTTCTCCACTCCCCCCCTTCATCCCCTCTCTTAACCCCTACCTCGTCCCCACTTCTTTTCCTCTCTTCCCCTTCCTCCCCTCTCTATCAAGCCCCCTTCTCCTTCCCTTTCCTTTTCTCTTTCTCACCTTCTCTCACACCCTCCCCCCTTCCTCCCCCTCTCTCAGCTCCTCCCTCCTGCCACCTTCTAACCCCCCCTTCCACCCCCTCCTAACCCCCCCCCATTCCACCCCCTCCTAACCCTCCCCTTCCACCCCCTCCTAACCACCCCCATTCCACCCCCTCCTAACCCCCCATTCAACCCCCTCCTACCTCCCCCCCTTACTACTAACAAAGACAACGGACCTCATGTACTTACAGATGCATTATGCCATGGCGGACAACGCCACCAACAGATGTCTGACAGCGACATCGATCAACAGTTCTTCTTGACTCCTGCTGCAGGGTATCTTTGCTCAGCTGTTTACGTGTGTGTGTGTGTGTGTGTGTGTGTGTGTGTGTGTGTGTGTGTGTGTGTGTGTGTGTGTGTGTGTGTGTGTGTGTGTGTGTGTGTATGTGCGCGTGTGTGTATGAAGTGTAGGTTCTGTAACGTTGTGCGGAAAAGTGCAAACAAAAGGAAGGAATATTTTATATTTCTTCTCCGTTGTGTAAAAAAAAACGTGTATTTTTCTTTATATCTGAAAAAAGGTTCGGGAGTAAATATTATATTTTTTGTACATAGTGTGAAGGTAAGGCTAGTTACAGCCTCGGCCTTTTGAATTACCTAAATGTATATAAAGGTTAGGCCTTATATGTATCTTAAGCTTAGAAAATAAAACGGGTTTAGACTATTGTATTGTTAAGTATATAAATTATGTGCTATTTTCTAAAGAAGGTGTTAGTCTTTTGTACAACACAAATATCCAAAAGTGGGACCAATTTTGATATCACATGGAGCAACTATCAATAACAATTCAACATATCCGAACTATTTTTATGACATATTAACATACAGTGAATATGCTCATTATATATGTACATACATTTTGATGCAAATATGGTGTTTATCGTATCTGACAAAAGTGTGTAGAACAGTGTTCTTAATTGTCAAGAATTACGAATGATTGCCTTATCAGAGTAACTAGAAAATCATCACCGTAGCATAAATATAATATGATGTTCTAACGTCGGCAACTTTCGGCATCAAGTTTGTTTGGGTGGAATCGGCGACCGTCCGGGCGTGTGACGTCACCACTTCACCCCGCTCGCTGATTGGCCCGTTTGTAACGTCAAGATGAGTGACGTAATCTTCCCGTCCCGCTCGCTG